GTTGCACAGATATTACCAGAACAGCCTTTGGAGTTGTATCCTGCTGAAATGTATCTTGAAAGTTCATCACCTAAATCATTCGCATCAATATTGCGCACGTCATCATGTGTCAGCACTGTCTCTAGTGCCCTGCATTGCTGGTGTAGATCTTCTTCAGGTATAGTGAGGAGTTTTGGAATATCATACAACATAGCAAAAATACTGCTGTGTCCCTTGAGCTGCATGAAACGTTCTTCAACTGACTGTATTGCACAATCTACCACCTGGTTAAAGAATTCAACTTTGAACTGTTGTTTGGGGTCTCTTATGGGATTATCCCGTGCCTCGTAATGAAAACGTCTTCTTCTTCGGTGACTCTTGTATTCTTGAATGGGTGGGAAAATAGTTTCAGTGTGAAGTTCCTCTGCCAACTTCTGTGCACTCTACAGAACGTTTTGAAATCCCTCATCTGACCAGTAAGACTGTAGGTATGACTTTGCTTTGTCCAGTTGTTCCATTTCTCCAGATATATCAAGGTCAACACCTTGGAGTCTCTTGCTTACAACATTTATTTCAAACAGTATGTCATGCCACAACACTAAGTCACACAGAAATTTGAAGTTATGTATGTTTCTGGTGATTCCATTTCCCTCTGCCACTGTTCTCCCATGAATAGTTCCTGTCATAGCATTATCCTCCATAATGGCAACTATGGCATCATCTATCTTCCCAATTTGGTGTTTGATAGGCTTTATCGCCTCCACTCGACTTTCCCAGCATGTGGCACTCAATGGTTTCAGTATCAGAGAGGATGTTCCCAGATGTTGCTTCAAAATTTGCCATCGATGAGTTGATGCAGAGAAAAATACAGAGATGCTTTGAATTACATTAAAAAATTCAGCAGCCTCACTAGAAGCTGATGCTGCATCACTGACCACCAAGTTCAATGAATGAGAACTGCATGGGACAAAAAAAGCTCGAGGGTTTAACTCTCAGATCCGGGCCTGCACTCCTCTGTTCTTTCCTCTCATGTTGGCACCATTATCATAGCCTTGACTTCACATGTCAGCTATCGCAATTCCCGTATCTTCCAGCTTTTTAAGAAGCTCATTTGTCATACTAGCTCCTGTAGTATCATCAATGTCAATAAATTCTAGAAAATGCTCTCTGACATTCACCATTGCAGGGACATTTTCACTAGGTTCTGTTGTTGTTACAAAACACACCATTAAAGTAATTTGTTCCATATGGCTGATGTCAGGTGTGCAGTCCAGAATAACAGGGTAATATCTTGCTGACTTCAGATCTGCCACAATCTTCTGTTTAACTTTTGTTGCTAGTAACTGTCTGATCTCCTTTTGAATTGTTTTTCCAAGGTAGTAGTGTGTGTACATTTCTTGGGTGGTGACTCTTCTTAGATGATCCTGGAGTACAGCATCAAACTCAGCCATCAGCTCCACAATTTTAAGGAAGTTTCCATTGTTCGGCACATACAGCTGATCTGAAGTACCATGCAGTGCTAGGTTTTGGGTAGCAAGCATTCTCACAATGGCAATGAGCCTTTTTAGAAAATTTTGCCAGTAAAGAGACTCTGATGCAATCTTCTCTTGATGCTGATCATCTCTGGTGGCCTTTAACCTTAGTCTCATCTCAAACTCTTTCCACCTATGGAATGCTCTCTGGTGATTTGCTGCCTTCTCATGGCATGCCAGATTTCTAGCCAGATTTTTCCAGTCCTTTGTTCCTGTAGAACCCAATGTGGCTGGAAATTAGACTGGAAGAGCTTGCAAGAAAAACAGTATGCAGCATTCTGGGTTTTTGAGTACATAAGCCATGCCCTCTCCACTTTGTCACCATTGGGGATTTCATGCCAGTAATGTGTTGGATGGAAACTTCTATTTTCATTGTCTTTCATTTTCTACACTCTGGGTCCTAGTGGTGCCCCCCCCCAACAGTCTGGCACCTGAGGCAGCCGCCTCAATTCGCTTCATGGTAAGGCCAGCCCTGGCTAAACTATCCTTATTTATTCAACTTGTCATATTTACTCCCACATCAATCCTTCCAGTTCTCTTAAGAAAGTTTTTTTTTGTGTGTGCTCTGCTACAAATTCATTTAAGTTGCTTGACAATACAGACGCCCCCCAGGTTACGCAAACCCAACTTATGCAAATCCGCACTTACGGAAAAAGTTCCGTTAGCTAGAAATAGTTTGTTTGGGGTTTTTTTGTGTAATGGTCAGGTATACGTTTCCGACTTATGCAAAATTCGAGTTCTGCAAAGCGTTCCGGAATGGAATGCTTGCGTAAGTCGGGGAGCGTCTGTACCGCAGTGCCCTGAACTACACTCTGTATTTGTGGCTCAGTTCCTCAACAGCTGCATAGGGTAAAGAAACCACTACAGATGTGGTCTGCAGCTGTCTTCTTTATACTTCTTATTTGTGAACACAGAATACAGAACAAAGGCCAAGCAGACTATTGCTCCAGAGTTCCAGACTAACGTGCATATGGTATTTTCAGGATGCCATTTAGAGACTGGGTTATTCTTAAAAGAAGGGAGAAAAAGTCTGTGTATCATTTTTCTTGAGTCTCTATTTCAGATACCTACTGCTGGTGTCCAAGAAGCTTCCTGTTTAGCTGGGGAATGAGAAGTCTAAGATCGAATTTGTTAACAAACCTGGAGATGTCACGTAAAAAATACTTTCTCTGGTAGGTGTTTGCACCTTTCAAATACTTGCAGTCATTTATGTCCCTTCTTGCATGATCTTTTACAAGTGCCTACAGTTCTTCATATTAAGGCTTATTCTCTAGTTCACAGCCTACAACAGGGGTGGCCAACCTGTGGCTCCTTGTATAGGCACTGACTCCGGGGCTGGAACTACAGGCACCAACTTTCCAATGTGCTGGGGGATGCTCACTGCTTAATCCCTGGCTCTGCCACAGACTCTGCCCCCTCTCTACCCCTTCCTGCCCCCTCCCGTGAGCCTGCAGTGCCCTTGCTCCTCCCCCCACCTCCCAGAGCCTCCTGCATGCCACAAAACAACTGATCAGGAGGTGCGGGGAGGGAGGTGGAGGCGCTGATTGGTGGGGCTGCCAGTGGGTGGGTGGCACTGGGAGCGGGGGTCGGGGAAAGAGCTGATGGGGGGCTGCTGATGTATTACTGTGGCTCTTTGGCAATGTACATTGGTAAATTCTGGCTCCTTCTCAGGCTCAAGTTGGCCACCCCTGGCCTACAACATACTTCGGCTACATCTACACTACAGCCGGGATTGACGCTCTGAGATCGATCCAGTGGCGGTCGATTTAGCGGGTCTAGTGAAGACCCACCAAATTGACTGCAGATCACACTCCAGTCGACCCCTGTACTCTACCCCTGATGAGAAGAGTAAGGTAAGTCGACAGGAGAGTTTCTCCGGTCGACCTCCCGCAGTGTAGACCCCGTGGTAACTCGACCTAAGGTACATCGACTCCAGCTGTAGCGTAGGTCGACTTACCCTGTAGTGTAGACATGGCCTTCATTCAAACACTAGAGGGAGAACAGACCCGAAGTAGAACTGCCATCTCGAAGGGTTCTGTTGTCTTTTCACTGTTATATGATTGTGAGATTACTAAGTATTCTTTAGTCAAACACCAAACGCTACAAAGTCTGGAGGCTACAAAGTTTCATCAAGAATTAACACCACAACAGGCAGCTATACGCAACCTGTAAATTAAATTCATAGCATATAATGAACAATAGCAGGCCTAGGTAGCTTTAATGGGGCTAGTACTATAAATTCACCAACAGAAGCAGAATTATTTATGTGGCTGAGTGATAGCAGGTATGCTTCCAGTCATGCCCAGTTTGCAGTGTATGTTTACAGACCCAACTGCTAATATTTTATAATTAAAAAAAAAAAAAGTACACTGCTACAGTTACCGATTGAGCAATCGTGTCCGGTCCAGTTGGGATCGCAGCTGCAGAGCCCGGTATCAGGCAGAAAGGTCCCGTGTCCAGAGCACTGGTCCAAACAGGTAGCTCTTGGTGTCTCGCAATTCGTTCCTCCCCAGCCAACGGAACAGTGACATTCTCCCCGTACGCATACTCCTCGCCCAGAACAGGTGGGATCCATGCAGTCCACTACATTGGGGGGGGAAAGCAGAGATAGAAAGTTCCGGAATGACCCATTTTGATATTTATAGTTTACAATGCAGTAGCATCTTGAGGCTGTGCAGTCGAATGAGACAAAGACAGCTCCCACCCCAGGAAGCACTCAACAGTTGCTTTGCACTTCAGAAATTTCTGCATGAGAAATAGGATGGGATTCTGGAAAGAACAAAACTAAAATGAAAACAAAGGAATGTTACATGGTGAAATCCATTCTTTTGCTCATACTAATAAATTGTATGTCTAGTACCAACTGGAGGCAATCAATTATATTTATAATTATAAAATAATAATAAATATTTTGGAACTATATAGCATCTTACTTGATTGTATTATAATCATATGAATAATAATAAATATTATTAATACATTCAAGGATCTCAAAGCACTTTATGGACATGAATTAAGCCTTACAACACCCTTGTGAATTAGGCACTAGCCCCATTTTATAATAGGGAGACTGAGAATAAGCAACTTGCTCAGACCATTACAGAGCTGGGAATATGACCCCACACATCCTGCCTCCCTGTCTACCCAACAGGTACTCCCTCCACTCACCTCCATGAAAGGTGAGATCAAGTGAACTATCAGCTTTACCCCAAGATGAAAATCATTTCTGTTTCACTTATGTATTATAATACGTGGTTACAACACACCTGTCTGACACAGTGGTTACAATCTTTATTCCAAATATGTATCTATTTCTATAAAATGGACAATGCTCCTCCCCCACCATTTCTAATGCAAGTCATGAATGGCTAGATGCTCAGAAGCTGCAGTGATCAGCATGGGCTAGTAGACAGAAAGGTTAATCTTTGTGTTTAGGAGCCATTAATAATAAGATAGAACATTTATACTGATGCTAACAGAACAGTATGATGCCACGTTAATACTAAAAGGACTTTATAGATGTTGTTTTCTGGTATAGGGTAATTTTCAGAAAGTATATTAAAACCCATTCCACTGAAAGGGATTTCCAATTTAACTATTACTCTCGAGATATCAGTGTAGCCCATTGGCAGTGACAGTGAATGGCATGAACAGCATCTTACTTGAGACAGTATTAACATAATTTCTGTTTAATGGAAATGCTTTTGACCGGTGCCATTAAGTTGACGATACTCCATCAGATATTACATTGTTGTGGAAGTCTGAGCTTTGGGCTTCTAAGAGAAATTTTCAAATAAAGATTAAGACCCTGATTCAGTAAAACACATAAACGTGTGCTTAACTTGAAGCCTGTGCTTAAATCCTGTGAACTTCAGTGGGATTTGAGATTATGCTTCAAGTTAAGTCACATGCTTGCTTATTTTGCTGATCAAGGGTATAAAAGAAGAAAGAGAGATGAAATGTTATTGAATACCTTTTACTTCTGTACTTTTATTTAATACAATATTTAATTTTTAGTCTTTTTGAATGTTAGTTTTAATAAGGTCAGTCTCTTAATAGAGTTGACAGACAATCCATTTGGGAGTCCTACTTAAGAAGATCCTATTGCACAAGAATTCTATACCACTAAAGTGCCTCTTAATTTAAGTGGTGCAAAGAGGCCTTCTATTGACTGACTGCCCCTGGGTGAATTTCATCCACCAACTGAAACATACAAAACCACAAGGAATGGAGGAACTGATCATCTATTTATATAAAAGCACATAGGGCACGTGAGAGGAAGAAAAGTCCCTTCAAACTATTCCCATCTCTTGAAACTGCCGGTGGCAGTGCCCTGCGGATCAATGACAAGTATCAGGCTAAGCTGCGAGGGCAGAGTTGCCCAACTGCTGGCTCTAATACAGCAGAACACAATGCGGTCACAGCATATACTGACAGGTTTGAGGTTGTGTTATTCCTTTAGGGTTCATGAGAATTCCAATGACCTGTTTAAGTTCCAAACACCTTGAAAGGAAACACACCAGCCCATTAAGCTACTCTGATAATTCCCTGGATTCACAAAGCCTTCTGACTCTGACAAGCAATGGCTCAGCAATTACTATCCTGAGGCATGCGAGGGTATTTTCTGTTTCATAGGTTCCTGGCCCTCTGCTTATAGCTGGAACAACCTTTGAGAATCACAAGATGCTGGAAAGGATGAGCCTATAAATCTCTTCCACTATTAGTGAGCTGGGAGCTAGGGTTCCAATTTTAGCTTGAGACCCTTGGAGCCCTGGCCCTGTTCTTGCTCAGCAGTAATAAGTACAAAAGAGACTATGAAACAGACTAACAGAATCCTAGGTTCTCAGCAGATGGTTTGAACACAGAGAACAAAGATCACAGGCTAACTGACAAGAGGCTACCTCCAAGCAATTAATCATTCCCTGTGAAGGTCGATTGGGAAAAAAGGTAAGTTTTAAATGGGGCTCCATCACAGAAGGCCAGCACTCTGCTTCCTCAGCTCTAACACAGAAGATTATAGAGGGGGAATGTGTGTGTGTCAGAAGCCCCCATTTATCATAATCCCAAGGCCATTTTTCATGTTGAAATGAGCCCTTTCAAAAGATGTCACAAACAATGGCAACTTTAATCTTGCCCTTAGTAGCCATCTCTCTTTTAAGCGTTCTACACTGTGGCAAGGACCCTGGGACAGGATTAGGGACTTGTGCTTTCTTCTTATTTGCTTTGGTGGTTTTTGAGGATAATGGGACTTTTTTTTTCAGGGAGCTCTGCTTGATAAACGTAGCCACTTAGCTCAGGACGAGAAGGAGGGTGGGGAAGGAGGGTGGGGAAGGAGGGTACAAAGTCTAACATAGAACAGTTGAGTTTTGCATATATATTTGTTTTACAGGTAGGAAAACAGTCAGAATGGTCTAATTCCTGTTTAGAAAGTGTCCTATTTGTAGCTTAAACCTTTTGCATAATCTTTGCCAGTGAGATAAATCATGCAGCAAGTAATGCTATTGAAGAAACTATACTTTCCCTGATATGCTTCATTGGTCATACAAATTATTAGACTTATTTAGTACCCAAAAAGTAACTTCTCATTTTTCATTGCTTAAATTTGTTCGTCCCCTGCTTTAAGTCCTATTGGCTTGGCCTATGCCTTATAAAATATGGGGCAATAAAACTTTAGAAGAGTGAAAAGAACAACCTATGTAAGATTGTTAACTGATGTTTTATGCACATTGCCGAACTTCTATGGGGGGAGAGGGGGCATAGGAAGAAGAAATGCAAAAAGAAAACCCATTATAAACAAGGACACCAAAGAAACTGAGAAATAATAGAAGGAATCAATACCAGAAGTCCCTTCATGAAACAGAAATCAAAAACTAAACTCAATTTTTAAAAATGTATTTCATTAGATTTTAAAAAGTACCCTGCAGATTTCCTACATGGCATATTGCTAGGTTGATTCTCCCCCACGCCCCTTTGTGGCATAATACAAATTATATTTTGCGTATGAAAAACAAATGTATAATAGAAAAATACTAAAACCTCATAAGAAAAAACGTGTTCTCTTTGTTCCTCATTCTTTTTCACGTTTCCACCTAGTGGGACTGTGATACTGTCCCCTGCCATAGTGATAATATAAAACAACTGAACTGGGTTTATTCTACTGCTTCAAATGTGGCTGGGGAAAGGAGGTTCATATTAGGAAAAAAACAGATCTTGCTCTGTGTTCCGTACATTAAACCTCGCTGACATCAATAGGGTTACTCATGCATCTAACTGAGGGCAGAATCTGACTCTGACTTTTAAATAGTTTCCATTTTGTCACTTTTGTTTAGATACCAGCGATGATTTAATAATGAAGAGATAGAGTGACCCGCTTAGTGAATCTTTTCAGTAATAATAACTTTGAGTTTTCTCTGCTTCCCAGATCTATTACACTGTTAGCATTTTTAGCCAAGGTAAATTTTCTCAAGAGATGGCTTAGTAGCATGGAATTGACACCATCACTGTATCCAACTAACTGTTACTGAGACACAAGCCATCTAATGCTAGATGCTCAACCCAGAATTCATTTTATGCTTCTAAGAAGTGCCATTTGGGTACCAGAATCCAAATCAGGTTATTCTCATTGCCATTGTATAAAAAGTAACCAGCTGAGGGGATTCTTTATTTCATACTCACTTAGCAATTGCAGGTAAATTATGGAGTGACATTCACTCTTGTCCAAAGGTCATGTCTGAAGCCTATGCACCATTTAAGGGGTTGGCTTGGCGTTTGTGGAGAGATGAATTAAACCCAGAATGAACTGTCTTTGGGGTTTTCTGCATTAAATTTTCAGAAGTGCTGCACACTTACAACTTCAAATGAAGTCACAGCAGGAGCTATGCCACCTCTGAAAATCAGGCCCTCCTGGAGATATCTCTATAACTGGCTGATTGAGGGATAATTTGTAAATATGGAAACAATTGTCCATTTTTTGGTTTTGTTTGTTTGTGTTTGTAAAGAACTGTTGCATTAAGAGGTGGTTACGAATAGGGTAAGATGAACATTTATTTTGTTCGTGTTCCAAGATGCAGACAGGATGATTACCTGCACAAACTAATTAAAGGTTTCACAGTAGCAGCCTTGTTAGTCTGTAACCGTAAAAAGAACAGGATTAATTAATAAATAATAATAATAAATAATAATAAATAATTAAAGTACTTATTGGCACCATACTTGGGAGACACAAAGATAACTGTACATGGAAAAAATGTTTCAGGGCTAATGGGAAGTGAAAGAAATGTATGGCAGATCCATTGAAACGATATCTGGTTCTGAAGTTGAGCTTAAATTCATGTCCTGAACACATCTATGCTTTTAAACTTGAAAGGAAGCAGGGCCTCTCACATACTCCACTGTTTTATATACGGAAGCAACCACGATCACTTGGCATAGCATGCCAGAAAAATACCCTCTTAAAGTAATTATACGTTTAGATGTGTAAATGGAAATGATGCTTTAATAAGAACATTTGAACATGTGATCAGATGTTCTGGCCCCTCAACCAGATCTGTCTATCTGAAACGTTTGATGGCTTTTCACCCAATTACTGCACAAATATGACAGATAACCACAAGCTATTACAACATATCATTTTCGTGTTCCATCCATCTGTTGTATTTCTAAGGTGCCTATTACTATGGTGTCTAAGTGCCAGAACTATTCAGTACCATCTCTACATATGTAATTATAGATCAGCAATCAAAGCAAAAAAGGCTAATTGAATGTAACTTGCAAATACCTTCTTCGCAGCTCTCCCCCTTGTACCCTGGATTGCAGATACAGGTCCCCATGATGCACGTGCCATGGTTATTGCAGGATACGTCAATGCACTGGTTTGTTGGAACATCACATTCTGCCCCTTTCCAGCCACTGTGGCATAGACATCGCCCTTTCATGTACTGACCATTTCCACTGCACAGTACTGGACAAGATGCTGAGGGAAATGGAAAAGAAACAGCATTAAAACATACCTAAGTTATATGTGGGTGAGGAAAGAACCTATTCTCTTCTTCATATGTACTCTCCCACTGGGGTACCTCAACTCTGCCTTTAACACCAAGGGCAACACTTTTATATGGATCACACTCAGCTCTACATTTCCCATCTGTCTGTCTGCCTGGAATCTCTTTGCGCTTGGTTACCTCAGACCTTTCTACAAGTGAATGCTTAAAACATGAAATCATGCTTCTGGGTGAAAATGCCTCTTTATTCGGGGTCTCTGTTGTGTCCTACAGCAATCTGGAGTCAGACCTTTCATTCAATCCCGAGATCAGAAGTACTGGAGTCCTCCAGGGCCTTGAATATTTTTCCCCTTCCATATCTTCACTGCCTTTAGATCTGCTTTGCACTGTCTCCAGATCATCCGAATACTTCATCATTTCCTTGACCCTGCCTCTGCTGCAAACATTAGCTATTTATTAAGCACTCCCCCATTTGTGCTGTATAATTCCTGGTTTTATGGTCTTCAAGTTCTTTGCTGAGATGCAACCGGAAATCTGCAGCTGATTATTCTCCTACTTCAGTTCACGATAGCGCATTGCCCGGTCCTCAGCCACCCTTTATGGCCATCAGCTTCACTAGCTCTTCATCTCCACATACAATTCAAAACTGTCCTCTGGTTTTTCAAAATGCTTCTCTCTGAATATATGTCCTGCTACTTCGCTGCTCACGAATTCCACAGCTCCAGTCATGGACTCCCCTATGCTCCTCAACATGACTCTCCTTTACTGCCATGTCTAATTGGAAATGAGATGCTTCCTCTCTTCAAATACCATCTCAAAACCTAGAGAGACAAGGTGGGTGAGGTAATATCTTTTATTTGACCAACTTCTGTTGGTGAGAGAGACCAGCTTTCGAGCTACACAGAACTCTTCTTCAGGGCTGGGAAAGGTACTAAGAGTGTCACAGCTAAATACTGTACAAGATCGCACAGACAGTTTAGCATACCACTGCACATCTCAAAACCTATTCCCTTTAGCCAGGCTCCCTTTGCCCCATTACTGCATCATTCCATTTTCTCTTCCTGAAATTCAGCTGCAAGGACATGTGTATATCCCGTTTTTCTTTTGCCCTCATCATCCTAGATGAGAGCAGCTGGATAAGCATTAGCTTTCATGTCTGTCACTCACTAAAGCATTTTCTGAACATTTTAGTGAAGAACACTATCCAGAAATTGTATACAATACTGCAGTCTGTATTGTAACCCACCTGCGCTACACTTGGGCTGGATACAATGCCCCATTTTACATTATTCCTGCATTTCAGTGCACACAGGAAGAGATATTCATTGTAGCTAAAGAAATAATCTCTCTATCTGTTACTATCCTCTCAGGATAGTATCACAATGCTTCTCCAATGTTGCTTTCATGCCTCTCATTACAGGCAAGCCAGTCTGAGTATGTGAAAGCACCATGACAGCAGTGGCCCAATATAATAAGTTACCACCACTGACATTGTATTAAACCTGCTTGATCTACAATGGAACATATTTTCCTGATTAAAATACAAGAGATTTACAGGGGAAAGGACCTTGGAAATGCTTGCTTGTTATAAAACAGTGCTTTATTTGCCTGAAATAAGGTTCATTGAGAATATATGTGTCAAGTGCATCATTTGCAAGGTGATATCTATGTGCACAGCACAAGGCATAAATTGGGTAAGATGTATTAGGCGCTACACACTGCCCAGAACAAAAGAAGCTTTGTAATTTAACTTTTTAGCTGACCTGACTGAAGGTTTCATTCACCTGTCTAAAATTTAAAACACTGAATAATGGAGCCTATTTCAAGGTACAGGGGGAAGATAGAGCCACAGTTTTCCTGAACAAGGACAAAGAATAATCCCCTTTAACCAGTGAGACTACACAGGTGCTGAGAAGGACTTACATGTGTTCTGACAAGACAGTTGATCACTCAGTACAAGATCAGATAAATTGCAGGCCACATGTGAGAAGGCTAGAGCGCTAAAGAGGCCTGTGTGAGAACACGTCCATGACTGTCTCTAAACAGCTGCTGAGAATGACAAGGCAACAGTGATTGCAATGTCTCCTTTGTTGCATCCCATAATTATAGGGAATGCAGGGATTTTTTGAATTCTTTAATCCCTTCCCTTCGTACCTCATTTTAAAAACCATGTATTTTAGCTGGACCATTATAGATGTGGAATCTTTATAATTCAGATTCTAGCCAAACAAACAATGTTAAGGATGGTTTTGTGTGCTCTTGTTTAAATTATGGTAATTCCCTTAACAAATACGATTGCAATGACCCAAACACTCACCACTTATTGTAAAGCGCAGCATTAAAGAATATCACTGCAAAATACTTCATTTGTTTGCTTGGATCTTTACAAAATAAAAGAGTCCCTTCTCCCTTGCTCTAGGAGACCCTGGGATCGAGCCAACATTCTAACTCAGCAATGTAAATCTAGCAGCCTTGTCTCCCTCATGCGGCTAAAACTAACCAGCCAGGAAAAAGTTAATAATGACCCTTGGTTCAGCCCCTGATCCCCATTTCCAGCAGCTGTGAGGCCTCATCATGCCTCTTTCCCCAAAAGATGAGCCTTGCAGCATGCAATAACAGATCCAACAATTTTAGGCCAAGCTGAAAAGCAAATGCCAAAGCTGAAATAAACCCATGGAACTACAGCCTGAGCATCTTTACTGATCTCCACAGCAGCAGTATGGCATACAGAGAGAGGTGGTCTCTCAGATAGGCAGGTCCCCAAGTCATTGAGTGATTTGCAGGCCAAAACCAACACCTTAAACTCCAACCGGAAACCAACAGGCAGCCAACCAGATTCTGGAGCACTGATACCATGACTCACAGCAAGATGCTCCCACTTAACATAACAAGTACCTCAGGGAGCACCACTGGCTGAAAATCCAACAGAAAACACATTGTAATGTGGTGCAACTCACCCCACTAAGGCGCCTCCTGCTGGCTGTCCTGGGGATCAGCTCTGCTAGCGGGTGCGCCCTCTTCTGGTGGCGTATCACCACCATCACTTCTGCTCCAGGGACCCAGGTCACTCCCAGCCCTCCAGCTGTGCCGCATTCTGTGCTCCCCTATTCTGGGGGACCTGCAGTCGGCTGACCATCCACTTCCCTCAGCTGTGACCTGATGTCTGGTCACTTCCTCAGTGGCGATGGGGGTGAACCCGGGCCCGCCCACTACTCTGGGACCCTGTATATGGCAGCCACCTGCTGCGTCCCCTACAGCTCCTCAGTAGATCTCCCTGGGCCACTTCCCATTGGCCCCAGCACCCTCTTTGCCCTTGCCTCAGGGCCTCAGCCTGCAAATCCCTGCAGCCTGCCAGGAGCTGCCTTTAGCTCCTGGGTCTCTGTCTGCTCTGTCCAGGGAGCTTGCTGCCTTCAGCCTGCAAGGCAGCCAGTCCACCTCCCTCCTCAAGCTCCAGGGAGTGACTGAAGCTCCTCTGCTCTGCAGCCCTTCTTATATGGGCCAGCCCAGCCCTGACTGGCTGCCCCTCTCTGATTGGCTGCTTCCTGCGCAGCCTCCCAAGGGCTCTATTAACTCCTTAGAGCCCAGTGTGGGGCAGGTGCCCCATCACACATACGCACAAATAGCAGCAGTCCCCCCAGATATTCCTTTCCATGTGGAGGCAGACAGTGTGATCTGGATCTACGGAGTTTTAGCCACACAATTTTTTGACAATAAGAAGGACTCAAAACAACCAGATTAATCAAGATGTCCACCTCTCTAAGCACATCTGCTGATGGAGACTCTGCAGTTGCCATGGTGGAGGTATAGAAACTCCAGTGATGTTTCTAGCCCTTGTGGTTAAGAAGCTAATGTGAACCGACTGTAACGTATACATTGGCACCTACCTGAATCTGCAGGCAGCCTGAAACAAGAGTTCTAAGAGGTGTGAACTGTCCCATTCATTTTACTGGATTGTGAACTCTGAAACCCACTGGGGCACACTTCGGACAACCAGTCGAGCAGAGAACTTTGTGTGTGCACAGAAGGAAAGGGACTCCTGTTGTCATTCCTTCCCCTGGACTGTGAGTAGGTGGTGTGAACAGGAGTCTCACACAGAGCCCTGTGCTCCGTTGGGTGGGGGTTTGCTCACCCTCCTTTGGGAACGACTCTAACCAGCCTTAAGACAGGGAGCACTGGCCCACGGGCAGAGGTGGGTTCCTTGTGTGAGCAATGCCTGTGACAACCTCCTAAAACAGGGGTGGGGCCACATGTGGTCTCACATTCCTAGTGCCATGGGTTGCCTTAATCTACCCTTGTCTGTTTTCCCCCTCACTCTGGTTGCTGCAGGTCATCTATGGTAAGCCAGGGAGACCTCTGAGGCCTAAGGCAGGGACGAGGGTGCTTAAAGACCACCTTCTTGATGGCTGAAGACAAAGGATCGTTATAAAGTCCTGCTAATCCACAGATAAAGTGGTCTGTTGGAGAAACAATAGTACAGCCTTTCTAAGCCACCTTTTCTCAACACATTCCCAAAGAGAGAGCTCCTGGTGAGTCATTATCCTCATTGTTTGCTCACATGCAGCTACGGGGTGAGGTGGGGGGCTTAGAGGTTTGTGTCACTAAGGTTACCGCAAGCATGGCAAGTAATAAACAAACAAACCCACAAAGCCAATCAGTTTCCACTCTACTGCACCATCACAATCTACAGCAGGTTTACTTATGAATAACAGAACCATGAGCATACACTTCCAACACGCTCTGAGAATTGTAACCGGAGGAAACAACATGTATAGATGTTACTGAAACAGATACAAATGCCTACCTCTGCCGCAGTCGGGACCCAGAAAACCGAGGAAGCAATGGCAGGTTCCAGAAACACAGTCTCCATTCCCGTAGCAGTTACTGGGACAATTATCCACTGATTCTAGAAGATGAAAAGAGAATTGAGATACTTTCTTTAGGCAAGAGAAATCCTCTGTCTTCAACAGAGCCCATCAGCAGTCTGATAACTTAAAGTGTGTACACAATAGCACAGATACCATAATACTATAAAAAATATGGACCGGCAAACCCATTAAAACAAGTCAAAACTTCACCCAGAGTCTACACAATTCCTGGTAACTGGTAACTACACAATTTCTATGCACTTCCTATTTATGATTTGAATGGAGACAAGAAATACTAGAAACCTCCTGTCAGAACGTGTTCTCTTGGAAGATCTCCAGACCAATTTTGCAGATTCAAGAACCTTTGAATTTGGATGTATTTATCTGAAAAGAACAGAGTTGATCTGAAACTGGAATTTTCCCTAGACTAAGTGCACTACAAATGCAAATGTGGAAGTTGGAGATGGTAAAGCCCTACCGGATCATCTTGTCAATCTCCCTGCTTCCCATAGTCCGTTTTCTAGTGTGTTGTGTAAGGTGCTATTTAAAGTCCCACACAATGGGACTACCACTATTTCCCTTGGGAGACAATTCCATGCCTGATATGGTTTCAAGTTAACTCCACAAATTCCCCGACTGTGACAAAACATTAGATAATCATCTTCCAAGAACAGTTAATAGGTGAGGAAAATTATGTCTAGTGCTCTCTGTTTTGTTCCAATGCCAGCTCAGAGCATAGTATTTACAGTTTGTCTTTAATAAAAAGAAGCACATGACTTATTAAACCTTATTTTTCAATGACAAAGGGAATGAAAACCTCTCTTTTCTTAAGTGAAGTTTGCGTAAAGGTAGGGTAGTTTTTTGTGTGTAGCTTGGAAAGATGATAACACATTACGGTTCATCCCAGGCTATTATTTCAGATTTCCTCAAAGTGAAATGCATGTTATATTAAAATTGGATTCAGTTATACAGGTTGGGAATGGTAGAGCACTGGACAATAACTCTGCACTCTCAGGTGCTTAATTCATAGGGCCTTGTGGTAGCAAACCTATTTGTAAACTTCCTGTTCGTCTAATGAGCTGAAACATCTGGAGCCAAGAGTGGCATTAGTTTCTGAACTTGACAGAAAGGAAGCCTATTTCTGATTGGCTCTGCCCTGATTGATAGGGGCTCCTGAAGGCCACAGTAATGGACAAGGTGTAATTTAATCATCTATAGAGTGCAAGGGCAGTTTTAAATAATAAAAACTGAGTTTTAGGCATTTGTGTTTTAGGACTCCGCATATAGTTCCAATAAGTCCTGAGCTTTATTGTGCAGGTAAAGAAAGACTTCTTACTTCTCTGACACTGAGGTTCTCATGCTAAGTAGACATCCACTTTATGGTGTACGGAAATAACACCACAGTTTCTAGTTAACACTCTGGGTCTGATTCACCATGCTGTTCATCCAATGCAGTAGTAATGCAGGCACTCTGGACCTTTATCAGTTTTGACACTGCTGCAGCCTTCACCTATTAGCAGATGGATTTATATATCTATCCTGACCCCAATTAAAATTTCAACTTAGCCTATGAATAGTTGCTTTTCATAACTTTATGATCCTTGTTCATACAGGTGCGATTCCATTGCCACAGCAAAAGATCCTTGTCAGGAATTTTTGTTTTCAGTAAAATGTTCTTAGACAGAGGTTGAATGATTTTTACATATTTTATATACATATAAGGGTCCCATAGAGAGGTCTTAGCTTACCATTATGGGCCCAATGCTGTAAATCTCATTCAGGCTGAGCAGTATTTAGACATGCATTTCCCTTGAAGGTAATAGGAAACAGGGATACTCATTTAAGTACTACTCAGCATGATACAAGTCTCAATGTTAATAAAACACCCACGGAATACAGAAATTTCCCATTCTTTTCAAGTTATGATTTTCAATGACTGAACAGAGAAGTTGCAGAGGCGGAGGTCCTTACAACTGTGAGGGGGCATGGAGTCTTTTGCATGTAAGAAAACAATTAATACAAACAACGAAGAGCACAGTCAGCATCTAAAGCACAATGCACCATTAGGCTTAGAACCCATGACCTTTGCTCCAAAACCACAGGCATCTACCACTTTACCCATTAATTAAAGGTCAGTCTCCATTAGTTACAGTAGTATTTCGAGTTTCTATTCTCTCTGTGACTGACACTAATAGGCAGCATGTAGTATTCACGTACAATTGTACAGACCTGGCATTCCACATAGTAGAGGGCAGGGAAACACATACATAATGACCCATGTATTAGATACAACCTTTCCCTCTCATGTACACTCAAAGTGGTAAAATTATTTCCCACTTTCTGATTTCCCAGAATGGTACTCTGCAAGTGTGGCCTCGCCGCAAATTACATCTTGACTTTGTCACTGACCATATTTACTGAAATTCTGCTCCAGTTTTCAAAGGGAAAGGACATGGGCCTTATAATTGCAATCAAAGCCAGACCATAATTCAACACTTAGGAGAAAATTCACAATAGCAAATACTCTGTAGAGTACCTCCTCAGTTTTTAATTATGTGTTGACTACCCCATTCCACTAATAAGAAGCTAGGTCCTTAAAATCACTTTGTCACGGTTAAATGCTATCTGAGGTGTTAAATTTTTCTAATGAGTCTGAGAGTGACACTTACTATAATGCCCTCATTTTATGCACATTTGCTTTTCTGCATCATTGTCCTGAAGTAACCCCTTCCAGGGAGACAGAAAGGACTGGAGAAGACTAAAATATTGTTCCCCCAGTGGCTGGTGCCATGTAACTTTTGCTTGACAGCAAAGAATACAAACCTGGCTGGTGTAACACAGGGCAATTAAGGTCCCTACATTCTTCCAAAAGCTCTCTGACAATTGAGACCAACTTCTCGGCAACAAGAAAGATCCATGTTACATGATCATCCTGTTTGCCCAAGTCAGGGTAGGAAAGGAAGCTGCTTCCACGTAGCTCAAAAAATATTTTCGAACAGCGGATGCTAAATGGACATGCTGTTCCTTCACTATCTCTGGTAGCCACTGAGACCAAACAAGCACTGTGACTGGGGGGCTGAGGAGCAGAAGTCTAAGAGCTGCGTGGCAGTGGGATATTCATTATTCATTTAATTTCTATGCATTCCAGAATGTGGCCCTACTCCGGTTCTCCAGAACTCTCCTCAACTGGGTGCTCTTTTTAATTTGGAGGCAACAACAAAACCACATCTACCAAAAGCTCCTAAGAAAATCCTGCAGTTGCATCACAAGGCTGGATCTGGTTGCAGGGGTTAGAAGTCTACATGAAAAATCTAGTAGCCTAAAGTAAAGTTTTACTAAGTTCAGTCAGTCAGGGATTGTCTTAATGTTTGCAGGAGCCATAGCTCCTGAAGGATTGAACTAGGCATGTCAGCCACCCTCTGCATCAATTTCTGATTCCAGTGCCAGAGGAGATTGGCTGACCATGTGAGTTGCCAAGTCAGAACAAGATCACAGAGCACCTAAATGCTCCTGCCTAAAGCCAGCCTGCCGACAGCATGAAAACATAAGAAGTGTGTGTCCTGAGCCACTGCACCAGCTGGAATCCTGTTAGTGTGACAATCTTACAGCTTGCACATACACATTGTTCTATCCATAGCCTGGAAAATGAAAACAAGGTGAAGTGAGAGCGTTTTAAGAAAATATGAGGAAAACATGGAAATATGAAAAATAATACAGCTAAGTCTGCACACATGTGGCAGAAGAGAGGACTTGGCTAAAACTTCAATGGTTGCTATGATCAATTAAATTAGTCAATTCCATAAAGCACCAAAGCTAATTGAACTGGGCAAGTGTTTAAAAGCACTCTTCTCCCTTAAGTATGCCTATATACCATAATATTAGTTAGGGATTGTTTGAGTTCCAGTATCCATTCTAACCCTTATTTTTCAGCTTTGTCATAACTATACACATATCCCTAGGTATGTACAATATTATACTTGACACTCTAACTCAGTGGTTCTCAACCTTTCCAGACTACTGTACCCCTTTCAGGAGTCAGATTTGTCTTGCGCACCCCAAATTTCACCTCACTTCAAAACTACTTGCTTACAAAATCAGACATAAAAATACAGAAGTGTCCCAGCCCCCTGTTACTGAAAAATGGCTGACTTCCTCATTTTTACCATATCATTATACAATAAATCGATTGGAATATATTGTACTTACATTTCAGTGTGACACTTGAGCCTGTTTTTCACTAGTGAGCCTTGTCAGAAGCGTGAGCCCCACCACCCAGGGCTGAAGTATGTAATTTAGCCTTGTGGGGGCCCCTTTGGTGTGGCGTCCCGGGCAATTGCCTTGCTTTCCATCCCCTAATGCCAGCTCTGTACTTGCAACCCCCCTAAACCTGTCCCACGATCCCCCTGGGGATCATAACCCCCAGGTTGAGAAACACTGATCTAGATGAGTTGAGTACCCCCAGGAAGACCTCTGTGTACCCCCAGGGGTACATGTACCACTGGTTGAGAACCCACTGCTCTAACTAATTCTATGCAACTGGTGTAGAAGATTGTAGCAATGCTCTCTTTAAAGGGTGTCCAAGTTCAATATGATACTCTGGCCACATTTTAAAAATATATATATATTTATTGTTTTTAGTCTGGCTCCCATATTTTCCTCTTGGATTCTGAGTCTTTGTAGTGATTCCCCAAAATTTTACTGACAGCAGCTAGTGAGGACCAAGATTACCAACTGCAGGCTCAGCCAAGCCTGCATAACCCCAACATATGATTTTGCTATAATGGCCAAAGAGATCTTTGAAAACGTTTCCTTGCCTCCTTCCAAAATCAAATGGCAGCAGGAGTGACTTTGAGAAAGCGAGCAGATCCTACCAGGGGCAAAGCAGCAAAACTTAAATGGCTTGCCTTGGAATGGAGACCACAGGAACTTGAATGTGGAAGCACGCTGAATCATCCTGCCAGCTTCAAAACCTAATTAGCCACTGAAAAACAAGTGATTTCCTGAATCAACATTGTAAACATGCAGATCTCCTCTGAGA